TCATCACACACATCTGCCCTAGTATTTATATTTTGTGCACATGTAACAATCTTTAGAAGTTTAATCAACCGATCACTTCTGACATCTGGAATTACTGATATTTAATTACACTGCAGTCTTCAAATATATTATTTATAAAGTACTTGTTTTAGAGGCTTCATATACTGCCTAATGGCATACACACAATTTCTAGATTAAAAATATTGTAAGATATGTAAAAAGGCTGAAGAATAATGATGTTTAACACTTTAATGTAAGTTATATCATAGGTTGGACAAATGAAAGACAAGCTTGCCAAGCAACCTGGCTAAACCTAGCATTACCATGCATCTTCATCCTGTTCAATCTATTTCATCTCTATTCTACACAGTCCTGAATTCAAAAGCACCCTTACCTTGTGTATTCATCCAGAAGATTCAAAGTAGAATTTACTTCAAAGTTTCATTTTTCCCACTTAAAAAATTAGTTTCTTTGTAACACTGAAAGTCAGTCTGAGTTCTACTGAAAATACCTGAGTGGTGAATTAAAGATATGAGGACCAAAACCAGCACAGACAAATGAAACGGAACAGAGGAAATAAGGGGATAGGAAAACAGCCCAGATAAGAGACTAAACAAGAAGGAAAGGAAGGAAAACTCTTTTGTCTTCAATTAAGTCTTTGGAAAGCAGGGGGAAACATTAATTCTTCAGGAAAATAAATTTTCATAATTGTTCTGCTTAGCTTAGCAGTGTGATTCATGCTACCAGTCGTTGAAACCTGCAAAAGTTAAAAGTGCTGGTTAAACCTTAGGTTCTTGTTTTGCTGCTCAGGTCCCTAATGTAATCTTGTGTCTTCGGTTCTTTGGAAAAAACTGCCTGTTGGGGAGATGGAGATGTATGACTTAGACACAAAGACTGAATATGGCAGTGCTGAATAACCATACTGCCAGCAGAATGGAGAAGGCAAGTAGGGTTGAAGTTTGGAGAAATGAGAAGAGCTTAAAGCAGAAACACAGGAATGTATTGTTAATGAAGTAAGAGAGAAGAGAAATATAACCAAAATCTCCTTTGAGCCTGAAGAAGCTTTTACAGATATCTACCATCTTACTAACAGACAATGAGAAATAGAAGAGTACTGAAAGTCTTCTAGCTACCACAGATCATTTTTAAAAGTAACTTTATGATTACTGTTTTTCCAGCTAATTCTTGTTGATGAAATCATTTTTAGGTGTAGTGATCCAGCTACAAGCCTGGCTTTGGTCACATTATTCCCATATATTTTTTTAAAATAAAAAAAGAATGTATGATTTAAAATGTCAAACACTGCTGTTCCTTATTATTAAGCTTAAAACCTTTGGGGATGTTTTTCCCAACTGTAATTTAACGCCTAAGTAAAAATAAGATCTATTTCCAGATATGCTGCGAATTTGGTAATACAGGAAGAGTCATCCGCTGACACAGTATTATCCTGCCAAGCAGAAAAAGTATGATGAGACTACTATTGCACAATGTTTCTCAAAATAAGTGTTGAAATTACTTTTGTATCTATTCATAGTGGTAAATTTTGTCTTGCTGCCCATCTTCTTCAAAGAAAGAGCTATTTTTAAAAAGGTGATTTACACAGTTCACAAATATTTTTCTAGCTACTCTTCAATTTTCTATTAATAATATAAATAGGATCAAGTGACTTGTACCAGAAGAGAAATAACTGAACATGTCGTTACTTGACAAACAGCCTAGTCAATGTTTGTGTCCTAAACACAAACATTTGATGGGATAACAGCTGTCATTAAAGTAACTATCCAACACCACACTGGACAACAGAAGTAGAATGCTTTTGCCCAGGTTGGTAGAGACAAATACGCGTTAAGCTCCTGTTCAAATGGAACGAGAGAAATACAGCAAGTGTGAATATCGTTACAAAATGCACAAAAAACTTCTGACAAGCTCAACTATGATCTCCAGAGAAAAGGATTAGGCCTTATCTTAGAAAAATAAACTTTTTGAAAGGGATGAGCTAATAGGTTCTACCACATCCTTCCAGACTGACTGCCTTTAACTCTTCATAAGACTACATGAAAAGTGAGAATAAATGAGAATTTATTTGAAACAGCCTGTTCACATTTCCAGGTCCTCTTTTTATATTCAACAACCATTGCAAACAGACATATGTAGCTGTATTAACAACTCTTTTTTAGTAAATCCAAACAGAAATTTAGCATTAACAAACCTTGGCCTTAAGACGACAACAGTCCACCACCCACATGTGAAAGGAACTGTGTGCTATTCTGTAAAGTGATGTACACTATGAAAAAACAAACATTTTTTAATTTGTGTCCTTAGAGATACAAGGTGATTCTATGATTGTGCTGTATCTCCAAACACTTAGACACAAAACCTTTGAAAGGGACATCAGCTGGGAACTGAGGCACATTTGCAAAAAAAAAAAAAAAAAGAAAAAAGAAAAAAAGCAGCAGTGGTCAGAAATAGGAGATGGGAAAAGTAAGTCTCTTTTGCAAAGGGTTCAGGTAGCCCCTTAAAAAAAAAAAAAAAAAAAAAAAAAACGGTTACATTTTAACCCTACCTCAACTTATTTGCCTATTCCTTGACTAATTTCAGGCCCATTCCCAAGCAACTACTACTGTCCCTCATCACACCAAAGAATAGGAGAGAGACAGGAAGAGGACCTACACAAGACCATTAAACAAGCTCTTCCTAGGAGTTTTGATAGTCTTGTAAAAGAGAAAATTATGCCACAACAGAAAAGAAGGGGTATTGAGACAATTCTTTTTTTTCTACAAACTTGTATGATCTCTTCAGGGAAACAGGATGTAAGCCTATAGCTTCTCTTTGTGAAGATTTGCCAAGTTCTATAATCACATACTTTCTCCAGTCTCTCTCTTCTTTAGGCCAGCTGAAGTATCACTAACCAGAATTGTGAGCAATGAGCAAGTTTTCCTTCAATATCTTCCTTTCTCTCCCCCTCCTTCTGCTGATTTTCATATCCTTCTGTGCACCATAACTGGAAAGCGTACCTGGTAAGCATAGGCTTATTGACTCGTACTTCTTACAAGCCACCAAAAAGCAAGAAAGACCAGACCTCCAAACATTTACTAGAACTCAGAAAAGAAGGCAGAAGAGCAGCAAAACCATAGAAACCAGACTGATTACAGAAAGAAGACTAATGGAGAATGGGAACAGAAAGATGAGATGGTAGACAAAGAGTAAATCAGGGGTATAGATATTGGAGAGTGTATATGAGCTAATAAGGAATTACACAATTTCGAAATACAAAGGTAAAGGATCATTGATTGCTAGCACAACAATCTAGGAGTCTTGGTTACACTCCAAACTCTTCAGTACTCTGCTATAGTACCTTCAAGAAGTTACATGACATCCATCTGTATATATTTACCCATTAATAAAATATGGTTAATAATATTAACTTAAATCCTATGTGTGTGAAAGCAATTTTAAATTCTCATATGGAAGTTTTCTAATTCAGTTTTATACACAATGAGTGGAATTAAAAAAAGCTCGCTCTGCAAACATGCTCTTACTAAGAATCCAAGAGGAAAAGATGGTCCTCAGTTTCCTCTTCCATATTTACATTCCCACTCCGTCTTTACACAGTTTCTCTCTATAAATCTGATGCATACAATGACTTTTCAGATTATTTGCCTTCATTGTCTTCCTCAGACTGATCCTGTGACAACACACTACAATCCGAATTTGAGATACAAAAGCCAAGTGTCACAAGACATGGTAGCTAACCTATCTAAGCACTAGCTAAAAGCCTTGCTTTCTTTGACATTTTCAGAGCTGTGAATTTATAGCAACCTTCACTACAATTGCCCAAAATAAACTGCCTCAACTTAGGTATCACATACTGTACTTAGGGTACCTCACATCACATTTTATATCTTCAGAAAAGGGGAAAAGTTGTTTGGCCTACCCATGTTTAAAACATTGCCTGCAATCTGATCAGAGTAATCTTAATGATTCTTGACATAATAAGCCAAGTAAAACCTCAGGGACTGTGGTGAGGATAAATAGCATCTATATCATGTTAGCCACGTTTTTTAATTTAAACTGCTATCAACAAAATAATAATATTCCTTTTGGAAAAATACTCTTCTTGGAAGGATACAATTAAATCTTATCAGTAGTAGATGGCATTGTGCTCATCAGGTCTGATACAGCTTCCTGTGACATAAGCTCTTACTCCTCTTCACTACTCTTTTTCCAGTTTGCATGCATTCTTATTGTCCATTTATGGGAAGAATGGATGACAACATATATTCTGAAGCCATTTGATTACTTGAGGCTAAACGTGAGCTTCACAGGTTCAGAAAAGATTATTAATTGTGCCCTTATCCACGGCTGCTACAAGTTTGTGCTTCAAAGTCACTTCACAAACCGACGGAAAGAAGACTAACAGAGTCTTAAAATTTAATGAGAGACATGAGATTAGTATTGAGGTACCCAAGTAACAGTGACATGACATTGTAATTGTAACGAACAAGTAAGCATTTGATGAGGATTGTGTTAGATCATCTTCTTGAAAGACAGGGAATACTAGATAACAACAGAATAATATGAATTCCATGTAGTTACCAATATCAGTACATGGTATCTTTTCTACTAACCTTTTCAGTTACACTAGTTTTATTATTAACCTCCTTGGTTTTGTTTGGAGTTTGTACAGTATCCAAGGGGTGGACAATCTTTCTACATGGATGTTACTGTAATTAAACAGAGGCCAGGCTCACTTCTGCTCACAGTACACTTCCAGATACTAGATAATATTGGAGATAACTTACCACAGGCAGGATGTGCAAAACGGTTATATGAATGTCTGGTTAGAGGCTAAAAGCACTATTAGTCATTCTTTCATTCAAAAGAAATTAATATTTACCGTGTAGCTTTCTTGGCACATGATTTGAACTGAATGAGAACAGAAAATACCTAATTCTGTAATTTAAAAAAGAATTTTTTTTTCAAAGCAGACCTAGACATACCCAGTTGCTGAAAGAGAAGAGCCACACTGGTGCCTGTAACAGGAAGGCTATCATGTAGAGGAGTCTGTATCAGTTGTCGGTCTCCAGCTCCCAAAGAAAACAATTTCTGTAGAAAGAATTTTTTTTAATTGAGTATAAATTTAATTATATAGAATAAACAAGCTGTTGTCATACAGATAAGTGATTCATCCTGCAAAAATTATTTATTTATTTTGTATACAGAAGTTTAAAGTCAGTAAGAATAATTGAATTGACCAATAGAGATCTGAAATATAATTTGAGGACAATAATATGTCTCCTTGAATGTACAGCATGATAGTGCCTTCCTTACATTTCCATTGAATTAAATAGTTACAGCTTTGAAGGCATTCGATATTACATTTTTAATAATATATTAAAAAACCTTCCAGAAAAAACAAACAGTTTAAAACCCATTCAAAATGGAAAAATACATACTATTTTCTAACTGAAGTTCTTTGATATCTACTGTCTGCATGCATGTTTTAAGTATGAACATACTTGTGATATATGGGTACTGAAGAGGACACTTCTGCTACTCCTATGTTCCTGCTCTGCATACTAAAGTAGAATGAAAACTTTGGTTACCTTTCCAGCACAGGAACATACCTCCCTTGAGGGAGGCAGAAAACGGGAGTGAAAAGAATGCACTTATTTATCACATCCCAAAAAATACTGTAACTGCAAAATAATCTTGCTTTCCTCCAAGTAAATCCACATGACATTGAAGCAGTGGGTGATTTGAAGCAGTTACCTCTAACTACTAACTACCATGGGGTGGGAAGTGTTTCTGAACAAGCAGCAAGTGTGGTATAACTCCACTCTGTATGGCTGCAAAAATGTTGAATGTATGAAGGTAGCAAGCTCTAGTTGCTGCACAGCAGATGTTTGAAACCAAAATGCTCCACAGTTAAACAAAGCAAGTCCCTGAACTGTAGCAGAGATGCTCTTCCCCAGCACTTTAGTAGCAGACCTGGATGTGGGTCAATAACTAATTCCGCAGTTGGGTTATTTCAACAGCGGACATATGAATAACCTGGGATGCTCCTCAAGGACTTCTGGAGATAAACGTCAGAAGAGGGTTCCCATTCTAAGATATATAATTCAGATTTAGCCCTGGAACCATGAAGCTTACGAAAGAAAACAGAAGAACTTAACTTCTGACTAAAATGATAGTTTGACACTAGCAAATTTAAGTTCGAACTGAAAGGACATTTTATTTGAAGAGAGAAAGCAGAAGGGAGAATAGCCAGAGGAGCATGAATTTTCCTCCCTCTTCTAGCAGAGGAAATGGCCACTGGAAAAAGCCATATTTATGGATAGGGGGGAAAAAAAAAAAAAAAACGGCAAAAAG